GGTCACATAATTTAACACATAATCAATTATTAAATAGAATTGGAGCTATGTAAGATTGAGTTGACAAACACAATTATGGTCATAATATGAGTTCTCTAGCACAGCTAAATTCAATAATTTAATTACTTATCTAAGATTGGTTCGATCTTAGCTCTAATAATCTAATGTTCACTAAATTACTACGTATTCAAATTCATGCAGATTAATGGTCATTAACTACAATATATAAGAAGTTAAAGCAATCTAATATCAAATCAAGCATGCTAGGTATAATCAATCAAACACAAGTCATAACCAACAAGTAAAGTCTAGAATAATATAATAAAACCATGAGTTCCAGCTTCATCTAGCTAACAGAAGCAACTAGATTTAGCTGGACATTCTAACAGGTAAACATAAGCAAGTCATAATTGAAAACATCATAATGTACCAAACTAGAAAGTAGATTATGAACTTCTTCTTCTTCTTCTTCATTGGTCAAACCAATTTCCAAGCCTTTTCTCCTTCTGATTTCGACTTCTGAAACTCTCTGAATCAGCCAAAAAACTCCTCAATTCATAAGGATCAAGAGATTATATAGTTATCATAAAATTTACATTTCACGTCGTGAATTATCCATTCACGTCGTGAATTGACAGGAGTCCTTATTGGGCAAGGATTTCGACTTTGCGCGTACTCATCTTCCAGAATCCTCCATGACACGTCGTGAACGTGTGGTCAGCATCGTGAATTGAGTTGATTTCGTGGGTTTCTTTTTCTTTTATTCTCCAAGCCTCCAAAGTTCCAAGCTTTGTCGTTTTTAGTCCCTATTCTTCAAGAATGCTCCTCTTTGGCTGTAAAATACATTTTAACCTTATAAGTACCATTATTCCATGCAATTGACCAAAATATGTATAAAAATGTACTTAAATATTGCCTAAAAATATGTATAAATATGGCAATATCACTAATTAGTGAAAAAACATAAATCTTATAAATATTTAATATAACTATGTGGTAAAATAAACATTATTAAAGCAAATGGCATAATTTATAAATAAAATGCTATCAGAATAACCACTTAGTGAATACGATTCACTAAGTAGTTGGATTAGCTTCTAAAAATAGTTTACCATTTCAATGACTTTTCTTTTTATAAAAAGCTTTTTGTAAATACATACTCTAATAGTTAATGTTTTTTAATTTTTTTTCAATTTAACTATTTTATTATTTATCTATATTAAATGTCTTATTAAACCCCCTCATATAGTTTATAATTTCTCATTAGTGGATGTTTTTCCTAAAACTATAAAAGATTATAAAACTACTAAAACAATAAGATTTTATGTAACTGAAATGTTTTATAGTATTTGATATTTTTAAATTTTAACAATTACGACAAATGATTTTAACTTATATATAAATCTTTTATAAAGTATATTAATTTTTATTTTTTTGTTAAACTAAATGATTAACTAATAAAAAAATATAATATTTAAATATCATTGGGATATAAGATATAATATTAATTACTATAGAGATCAATATGATAAAGTTAAAAATATTAAAAAGTTAGTAGATAATAAATGTTTAAATTGATAACATAAAAAGATTTTTCAAATAAAAAGAAGATAAAATTGCAAAAATGGTCTCCGTGCTATGCATTTTTTTAGAGTTTTAATTCAAACCATGACTTTTTTGGATTGATGGTTCTTTTGAGCTAGTTTCGTTGTGTTTTTGGTCCTCCAAACAGTGAAATGACTGTAATACCCTTGGGGTATTTATTTTCCGTTTTCTTTTCATTTCTTTTTAAATCTAATACTAATTTATTTATTTTAATAATAAAAAAATAAGAAGGGCCCCATCTCTCTCTCTCTCTCTCGCTCTCGCTCTCCTCTTTCTCTCCTCTCTCTCTCCCCTCTCTCTCTCTCTCCGCTCTCTCTCCTCTCTCTCTCTCTCTCTCTCTCTCTCTCTCTCTCCACGTTCTCTTCTTTTTTTCATTTTCCCCCTTTCATCCCGTTTTACATCTGCATATTTGAGAACTACTGAAGCTAGCATTCCCTCGATTACTCATCCAACCAACGTGTGTGAGTATGTCGATTTCAACTGGATTTGCAGGTGTGTATGTGTGTGTCGATTTCAACAACCACCTTCGAAAATCAATCAACAACAGATCTCCAAAATCAATCTGTTTATCCTCCGATTTCAGATGAACAGAAGATTGTATCTGCAATAGAGGTGTGGTGTGAACTCGATGGTGATGTGGAGAAAATGGAACCCGGCCTCCTTCTTCCAACTTCGTCGGCGACCGACCTCCTTCTTCCAACTTAAGCCGTTGCTAGTATCTGCTCTCCTGTAATCTATTTTAGATTTTTTGCATTCAACTTTGTGAGCATATGTATGTATGAACTGATTTCATAATTCAAATTATGATGTCTGCCATTTCTAAACGTGTTTTTGATTTTTGACTTGATTTCCACTGTATCTCTATCTAGTTCGATTTCAGAAAACCTAATTCAACTTAGTTTGACTAGTTTTGGTGTGTGTTCACTCTTGGGTGTAGTAAATCGTGTTTGTTGCTACAATTCATTGACGAGAGGCTTCAACTAGTTCATGACTTAACTATTGGAATCGAATTCGGTACTTATATGATCGCCATTATAGTCCCACTAGCACCCCTGAACCAGGTACCTCAACTTATTTACTTACGATTTCTTCTTTGGTTGTTCCTTTGAATTATCAGATGCAATAACACAAACATCCTCTGTCATTGTTACTTTATTCATTAGTTAGACTATGGTTTGTGAAGTTGTATGCATATCATCAATAATTTGCAATGATTGGCATAGAATGACTCCAGAACACATTGCTACTGGAATGACTGAAATCTCAACAATATATGAATCTTTCAATGAACCCGAAGAGGCTTTGAGGTTGCTGCAGAAATCAATGAAGCTTTTGGATGATAAGCTGGAAGGAGAGATGGTGGTGAGGAGTTGGGTTTAGAGAGAGAGAGGGCCCTTTTTTTTAATTATTAAAACAAATAAATTAGTATTAGATTTAAAAAAAATGAAAGAAAAATGGAAAATAAATACCCCAAGGGTATTACAGTCATTTCACTATTTTGAGGGACCAAAGACGCAAAGAAACTAGCTCAAAAGAACTACAAATCCAAAAAGTCGTGGTTTGGACTAAAACCCAAAAAAATGCATACCACAAGGACCATTTTCGCAGTTTTGTCTAAAAAGAAACTTTTGAAAAAAAAAAAAAAGAATATTAAAGCTATACGAATCAACGCGTGAAACACACGTGCTACCTTTTCAAATGTGCGTTGACCAATACCAACACATGATCGGCCGGGTTGGGTCTTTTTTCATTTTCGGGGGACGTGGTTCAATATTTTACCCGAAATAGATGCCCCATTCGATTCGATATTGCAGGTTGATTTGTAGATCATCCGTTGTTGTCGTCGGACCATCCTCGATCAATCATAATCCCGCTATAACAACTCAGCTGACGATTCTGGTCGGTTGATTATTGTCGTTTATGACTTACTTCTATCTGTTCCTTCATGGAATCACCCACTCCTCGTTCCTCCGAATACGAATCGAACCCTTTTGTTCTTACAGGTTGGGTTTTTAATATCTTTCCTGTCAATGGCTTCTTACTGATCTTCACCTTGCATTTCGGTGTTACCAGGACCCTAATTTCAGTAGGTATGCGACCGGAGATGACTTTCAATCTAAGAAACGGGGTGGGGTTATATCTGGAGACAATGAAGAACTCGCTTCTGAAAGCCAAACGGAACAACGCAGTGTTTGATTTACATGTTATTCTTTTTATTTCTTTTAGATAAAAGGAGCGCTTTTACTTCCTAGGTCCAAACATAACCGCATATTTGACATGTGCAGTAACTGTACCTATTCAAGAACCAACTAACCCCAAAATTAGTTTATGTTCTTAGAGTGAATGAAAACCACTAATGGAGTGGTTTAAGATAAAAGGCTTAGTATAGGATGGTCAATTTTGTACACAGAACATGAAAAAAGGATCCAATTAGTCTCCACCATGTCATGGCCATTGCTAATTATTGATGTATGTATGTCAAGTTCAGTGATTTGATGTATACATGCAAATTGTTGCTAAGATGGACTCATTGTTTTTATTTGGGCTTCAAGTTGAGAAACTTGATTGTTGCTTGTGCAGCATATTGGTGATCACAAGACAAAACTGTTGAAATGTCATGAGAATATGTTTACTGGTACAAAGAGCTGAAAAAATGGTTGCTTATGAAAGAAAATAGAAAATTGTTTGTTGAGTAAAAAGGAAAATATACAAAAGCTGTAGATTTTTTTTTTTTAAAATTTTGAACTCCAGAATTACAGAGACTGAAAGTTACCGTTATAAACATGATTAAGTCTTAATTTTGAACTCCAGAATTACAGAGACTGTAAGAGAGTTGTTGATTTTGTATTTTGAAATGTATTGTTACAAAACGTGATAAAGATTAATACAAATCACATTAAATATTTGACAAAATAATGGTACATAATCAAGTTTAGGAAAGAAAAAAGTTTATAATTGTGATAATAAGCTTTATTTGTTATCTTTAAAAAAAAAAAATCGACGAGCATCTAGAAATAATAGAAACCTTTTCTTAATCATTCAATGTGAAAACAAGTTACCTAACATATTTTAAATAATGATTTTGGCTTCATTCATTTGTCTTAACATTTTTTATATAATGATTTTGTCTTCATTTATTTGTCTAGTAATTTTTTTTAATAATAATTTTGTATTCATTCATTTGTCTAATTGTTCCGGTCATATGTGCACTTTGGAAATTTCATTGAAAGTCACATATCTCTCTCTCTCTCTCTCTCTCTCGCTCTCTCTCTCTCTCCTCTATATATAGATAATATATATAATATATATATATATATATATATATTATATATAATATATATATATATATATATATATATATATATGTGGTTGATTAATTCATTGAGGTGCTTAAACCACATAAAAAATCAACTCATCAATGGCATCTCTATCATCTTCTCCTTCTGCTCTGGCCTTTTCTTCAAAATCGTGGAAGTACCATGTTTTTCTTAGCTTTAGAGGAGAAGATACTCACAAGACTTTTGTGGATCATCTCTACACAGCTCTTGAACAACAAGGGATCTACACTTACAAGGACAAACGAAACACTTCCACGGGGCGAATCGATAGGTCCATCCCTTGTGAAGGCTATAGAAGAATCTGAAATTGCTGTCATCATATTCTCTGAAAACTATGCAGTTTCTTCATGGTGCTTAGATGAACTTGCATGTATTATGGAATGCAAGGATGCTAAAGGTCAAATTGTTATGCCTATATTTTATGATGTGGATCCCTCTGAAGTGCGAAAACAAAAAGGAAAGTATAGAGAAGCATTTGCAAAACATGAGTTGGAGAACAAAAAAAAAGTTAAACCTTGGACACAAACATTTGCCAAACATGAGTTGGAAAACAAGACCAAGGTTGCATCTTGGAGAAAAGCACTTGTGGATGCAAGTAAGATTGCTGGATTGGAACCCAAGCACATTGCTAATGGGTAATTTTCTTCTTTATTGTTGCGCTTTTTATGCTTTAAGTAAGTGCTTTCTACACGATGTTTATGCTTGTACCTTGTAAGCACTTGACTGGATCAATTGAACGGTTTGGTAAGTTAAAAGATATCTCAAATCATAGGATATATTATGGATAAGCTTAACTTAAGTTATGATGGTCTTCGTTGAATTTTCATTGTAATTCCGTACTTAGCGTCTCACTTAAGGCTACAACAACAATCTTGCTTCACTTTTTTTCTATTTGAAAGTATTCAAATTTTCCCAAGAAAATTGTTACAAACTACTTGTGATATTAACTCTACAAGGTCACTTTCAAAGATAATATTGGGTGATCAGGATTCAGGACCACCTTTTTAATTATTTTATTGGGCATATCCAACATGAACATGTGATAATTATCATTGTATATCCAATGTGTAGGCATGAATCAAGGGTTATCAAAGAAATTGTTGACACAATTTCATAGAGGTTATAATTAGTACCTTCAAGTGCAAATGAGAACCTGATCGGAATGGTGGCTCGCATGCAACATTTGAAATTGAAGTTACAAGTTGGGTCGGGAGGTGTTTGCATGATTGGAATCTGGGGGGTTGGGGGTGGTGGTAAGACTACTCTTGCATCTTCTATTTATGATGAAATCTCTAGCAATTTTGATGGTTGTTGCTTTATTAAAAATATCCGGGAAGAATCAAGCAAGAATGGTTTGGTAAGCTTGCAAAAAAAAATCCTTTCAGGTGTTTTGAAACAAAAGGAAGTGCTGGGAATAGACAGGGTTGAGGAAGGAAGACGCATGATAATTGATAGGTTCTGCCATAGAAAGGTTCTCATTGTTCTTGATGATGTCGATCAACTTGACCAACTAGAAGCGTTAGCTGGATCACATGATTGGTTCGGTGAAGGAAGCTAGGTAATAATTACAACTAGAGATGAGCATGTGTTAAATGCACACAGAGTAGATGTGATGCACACTATTAGCTTGTTAAGCGGTGATGAGGCTATTAAGCTCTTCTGCAAGCATGCACGCTGGGATCACACACCCACGGAAGATTATGAGCAACTTTCAAAAGAGGTGGTATCTTATGCTGGTGGGCTTCCATTAGCACTTGCAGTTCTTGGTTCCTTTCTGTGTGACAAAAACATTAATGAGTGGAGGAGTGCATTAGCCAGACTGAAAGAGATTCCAAATGATAATATTCTGGAAACGCTAAAAATCAGCTTTGATGGACTCACAAAGGTTGAGAGAGAGTTGTTCCTTGACATTGCATGTTTCTTTAGGGGGAGGGAGAAAGACGAGGCAATGGGGATACTTGAGGCTTTTGGTTTTTATCCAGTTATAGGAGTAAAGGTTTTGATACAAAAGGCTCTCATAACTATTTCAGATGATGGAGAATTTGATATGCATGATCTGGTGCAAGAAATGGGAGTCCACATTGTTGGAGGGGAAAACCCTAGAAATCCTGAAAAACATAGTAGGATTTGGAAAAAGGAAGATGTTTTAAAAATATGTGCTATGGATGCAACCACGGTAATGTTTAAGCTAAGCTTTGTATGATATATTTTGTATGTATAAACAAACAATTTTGAATCAATCCTGACACCATTTTGTTCCTCTATCATAGGAACTTGACAAGATCGAAGCAATACACATGGATTTTCGGTTTCACCCAGCAAAAGAGAAAGAACACTATCTTCCTTCGGTTGCTGCAAACATGAAGAACCTTCGGTATATGGAATCGATAGGGGATCCTGCAAAATATTTGTTTGATGACCTTCCACTAAGGGAGCTTTGCTGTCTTATATTGTGCGAAGGCTCGCAAAAACAACTTTGGGATGGTTGTAAGGTAATTTGTATTGTTTATCACTTTATCTAACTAACAGATGAAAACAAAGTTAGTTGATGATGAATTACTGACATGACTAACCCAGAGAATATGTTAAGTATCGATAGTACTAAAAGTCATGGACCATTATTCTGTGAATGTCCTCTGTCTTCATAACTATAAACTTTTCAAAAAATAAATTGTTTATCGACATATTAGTCATTGTAATACATGGTATTTATGTAAAGCCCATCCCCCAACAAATTATCATCTCATATATTTAGTTTTAGAATGGCCAACTCACACACCCATTACTTTACTCCTAAATCTACATTTTGTTGTTGACTAAAAACCATTATAAAATTTTGAGAGCACTGATTTGGGTTTAAATATCTTTTTTTATCTTGCTTTTATTAAGTGATTTATAGATATTTTATTAAACAACCGAACACTTAAGTTGATTTCCATTTGTGGATGGAAGGAACTAGTTTAATTGTGTGCGAGCCATTTTCCTTAAAATCTTGTCACCTTGATACAATTTTGACTTGTTTGCACTTGTATTTAACAGTTGCTGCCAAGTTTGAAGTTATTGAAACTTTGCGATATGAATAACCTAATCATGACACCAGATTTTAATGGACTTCCAAATCTTGAAAGATTCACTCTTCATGGATGTTGGTATTTGGAAGAAATTCATCCATCAATTGGATGCTTGGAAAAGCTTGTTTACTTATCTATAGAAGGTTGTCCCAGGCTTGAGATGTTTCCACCCATTAGGGCAATAAAGAAACTCGAGACCCTTTCATTCTCGGGGAGCCTTAAACTTATTAAGTTTCCAAAGATCCAACAACAGAATTTGGAGAATTTACCACATTTTGATATGGATAATAGTGGGAATGAAGTTGCGTCCTACGTAGAATCTTATCCAAACATTTTTTTTAATAGGTGCAGCAATATTCCTGGTGTAGAATGTTGTGTAGAGGAGCCTGATTTCTGTGACAACATAAGGTTAGGGGTTTTTAACAACTTGCAAGAACTCCGCTTCTTAAGGAAGTTGGATCTCCGCTGGTGCAATTCGGGAGATGAAGCCATAGGCTCTGATGTTTTAGAGTTTCCCAACTTGCAACAACTCAATCTATTCGGAAATAAGTTTTCACGGGTAACTTTTAGTTGCCTCCAACTTCCTCGGCTCAAATGGCTCAACGTGTCATGGTGCCAAGAACTTGTAGAATTGTCACAGCTGCCATCAAGTATAGTTGTTGTTATAGCAGATAATTGTAGCTCACTTGAAAGCTTTGGAGATATTTCAAACTGCAAAAGGTTGTTGAATGTCTCACTTAAGTGGAAAAACAAAATAGGTCCACTTGTTGGTGAGATATTACTAGACTCCATGCTCAAGGTTAATTTCGCTCTACATATATACCTTTTGAATTTCAATCTTTATCATATTAACCTAAACATACATATGAATGAATGTGTTTTCCATTGCAGGGGAAGGCTATCGAAAATCATTTTATCAGTTTCAGTATTTTACATCAGATTCCAAAGGGGTTCGTAGGTAGGTTCTTTAAGGGAAAAACATTTACAAAGCGCCTCCTACATGTTAAATGGGACCTATATACACATCATATTCCATCGGATGACGACACGTATAGACTGAATCTTCCTGATGATTGGTGCAATGACTTTTGTGGGTTTTTAATACGCGTTGTTACAATTCTAGGACATCTGGAAATAGATTCTCGGTTTGAGATTTGGCAGGAGTCTAATGAAGCACCAGAGCCTGAATATGGTGGAGATTTAAGGACACACGTGGAATATGTTTCCTTTAGTTCATTGAGGCAGACCACATCATTGAATCCATCATACAATATTATTTCATTTTCCATAAAGGGGCATTGGACTTCGTTTGCAGCTGAGCTCGTTCCTAGAAAAAGTAAAGATCATCCGGTGCAAACAACGAAAGTTGCAAAAGATTCCTCAGAGTTTTGGAATGAGGAAAATGATGCTTATAAGCCATTTATGATCCAAGATAGTTCAAAGTCTTCTATCAATATTAAATGGCGATAAAACATCTAACATACCAATACACCCATACATAGATCTCTCGACACTTTGCCAGTTTGTATTGTATAGTCCACACTCTGAACTTATTATTGTGATTACACTGCAACATACATCGACAAACAAATTGCAAAGGGAGGAGAATGAATGAAATGAAGATGATTGTATATCATGGTAAGAATTCCTTTGTCACACCCCCAAACCGGAACGAAGGAAACGTTCGGGGGCGGAGGACGTCATGTACAATATCAAAACAATGAATAATAGTAATCAAAGCAACAACAACCATTGTCTTAAGTTACTAAGACTACGCTTTATTTACAAAGAAAATATTGGATTTTCTGAAAGAACACATTAACGTTTTCAAATAACAAAGAACATACATTTTCATATAAAATACTTATGAACTCACCAACTTAAACATTGATACACTTTTAAAACCAGTTGTATTCTCAGGAAACTAGTAGACAGGTACACGCACAAGGTCCGAGAAGACGGAGCATAGTAGCTTCAAGTCTTTGTTTTTGCTATTTACTTTTGGAGTCAATCAAACTGTGATTCGAATACAATGTAAACACTATATTATTAATACAATGGTGGTTGTTGCTTTGATTACTATTATTCATTGTTATGATATTGTACATGCATGACGTCCTCCGTCCCCGAACGTTTCCGCCGTTCCGGTTTGGGGGTGTGACAGATTGGTATCAGAGTATTGTTTATAGTGAACTAAGTATATCAACTCATATAAGATATACAACTATAAATACAATGAGACTAAAAACACTCTGACCAAGAGTTATACTTTTAATTATAAATAATTTTTTTTAAAGTGTACATACATACCTATATACTAGATCAGTGTCATAATTAGAACAAAACAAAAGTATTATGATTGTTGAACAACACGAGTAGGCCTTGGGATATATAATCAGGTCTGGAATGAATATAGTCTGATCAACTATATTTATTCGAGAGGTGATTAGTATATGCCTAGGAATAGCCGTTGTGTTGCAACAAGTCTAAAACTTACCAACCCTACATACAAAGGAACTATGGAACCAAACATAAAATTTAAAATACTATAGGAGTATTTTAAGATACTATAAATAACTTATGTGAAAAAAAAAACCCTTACTGGTAGGTCTATAATTACTGAGTGTATACACTAAGGTTATATATAAGTGAGATTTTATAGACTTAGAATTTGTGATCTTCGCTCTACTTCATGTTCCTTGTTTGATTGTGGTTTTAGAGTAGGATCACTTATTCGAAGGTCTATTCGATCTTAGTTATATACAAGTGGTATGCACTACGTAGTTATAGGAGGACCCGGTAACGATCACCCCATGAAAAATTCTTTAAAAATGCTTCTATTTTTATAGACTCCTATTCTCACACGACATAACTAGGCAACCCCACTAAAACAGCCAACAGAAGGACGGAGGAAGAGCCAAAAGGAGTTCATGAAGAGGATTCCGAGAAGGAATCAGACGAAGAGAAAGACGCTGAAGATCGTTAATGAACCTTACCCTATTAGGAGCAGACATGATAAGGCTCGCTTAAACATTCAGATTCAGACTCTCTATCGCGAAGTAATAGAGATAGGTGACCAAAGACCAGATCATGACAATGCGAACTCAACACACCCACGGAAAACAAAGACAGCATACGATTACTATGCCAAACCTACAAAAAAATAAGGAAAATAATACAGACCACCTACACTCCTTAAAAGAAGAAATAGCCACCCGGAGACAACAAATCTTTACAGTTGAAACTAGGGCAATTATAGTAAGAATAGAGAGCAAAGTAAATCACTCGCGAGAAGTGCAAGGTGACGGAACACCTTACGCGTCACTTTGATAACTAATAAACTAATATAACCTAGTGAGTGACTACACTACTCACGCTATGTGTTAGGCTTATCACATCTTTCATCGTGACTAGTAGTAGTAAATCAAGTGAGATACACCTTTCCAAAACTCATGAAACTCGAACCAACCTAAAGTTTTGATGCCTATAATCTATTTTAAACTTAACATTTGTACAATACCTACTTCTACTCTCTACCATAAAAACATCACAGCGATGTTGGCCGAAACATTGAGAATCATACATCAAAACGTGAAAAGTATATGTGTATATACATAGATAAAATTCAACTAGACACGACCATAGTTATTTACGAACTTGTTTCACACCTTGTAACAGAATCATGCCTTCACATGGAAGTAACCAGCCAACCGGCGAAACACCAATTCTACAGATAGACTCCGCCACTTTTCAGGCCGCAGTCACAGCCGTCGTACATCCGTCATGGCACAATTCCACACTAACGACACAAACAGAGACGGAAATGGTGTCGATAATCCCAATCGTAGTAACAACCAACGAGTGACTGTCTACAATAACACCCCAAAACGCAAACCTAAGAACAAGAAACGAAAGTCCTGGAACAAGAAAGGGGGCAGTTTGTAACATCCTGTTATTTTTCTATCTTGTAAAGTCAACCCTAGTCAACCAAAGTCAAATGTGGGTCAATTAAGGTCCTTTTTATTGTTTGGGTTTTTATTTAGGTTATAATAATAACCTTTGCTTGTTAAAAATCCTTAAAATAATTGTAATTGAATTTAGAAGGAAAAGGCTTAAAAACCGTAAACTTTCGCATCTTCCTTCTTTCCCTTTTGCTTCGGACCGCATACGAGGGCTGCAAACCCTCGGACCGTGAACGAGGCCGTAATCAGGTTTCGGCCGCAAACTCATCGAATCTTATCGCCTCGGAAACCAAACCTTATCGCATTGGGGCACGTTCTCGGTCGCAAACCGCCTTCGGACCGTAAACGCTAGTCGACCTCGAACCGTAAACGGCTTCGGCTGTAATCAGCTTGGACCGCAAACGAGGTTCATGGCCGTGAACCCCTCGGACCGTGAACCCTCGTGTGTATATATATATATATATATATATTATTATATATATATATAATATATATATTAGATATATATATATATATATATATGGTTCAGTCGATTTTTCTTCACTTTTTACACATTCAAACACAATTCCAAGCTATTTTCTCTCAAGTATCATCAGCCAAGAACACGAAGAACAACCTCTCTCCTCAAGAACATGCTATAATAATCCCTTCTCATCATATTCAAGAAATAATCACTAGTTCTTCACAAGATCTGATAGGTATCATTTCTTGATCTTGTTAACACTTTAAGAACATCTTTCAATCTTCGTATATTAGATTGAAACCCGTTAATTTCATCTATTTTTCACGAAGAACACGCAAAGAACACGAAGAACAAGCACCTGAAAACCTTTGAATCTTCTTAGAATCTGTTTAAGATCATCAAGTGTTCTTCATTCCTCAAGAACTCCTGGCCGTGAACTCCTGGCCGTGAACACATATCAGCTTCCTTTTTAGCTTCTAACACTCCAATTTGTAAGTTATACTTACAAATCACCCCGATTTTCAATCATTCCTATGATTATATTTGCTAATTGGTTGCATATATACTATACAAATTGCTATATAGGGCTTGTTTTGCTACGGGATTTAACTCGTGTGTCTAGACATCCTATATCAATTCATCATTTGAATCACCCTCCAAAAGGTGAGTTCATACCCCTGTATTTTCATAGTTTTTACTGTTTTAAGGGGGGGGGGGGAGGGGGGGAATACAAGTCTAACACAAGGATTTTGTGTTACAAACAAATGATTTCAAAATATTTCACCAAAATGGATTTCAATTATCATCAAATCAAATAATTTCATTTCGTGTTAAAATGATATCATGTCACAAAAAGTATTTCAAAATGCTAAATTCTTTAAATGATTTTATAAACTTATGTTTTCCCCAAAAATCATATATATATATAATTATAATATATATATATATATATATATAATATATATATAAATATATTAAAAGGCTTAGGACTGATAATTCACTTTGGTTCCTTTTCCTTGTTTGGAAGTGGGCTTATAAGAATCGATTATTTGTCCGAATGTCATTTAAATTTTACTTATATATATTTGTATATGTATATAAATATAAAAGTTATTTCATTCGGTTCAAGTAACAAGTTGAGCAAGGGGTTGTATTCATGAACAGTTAGTACCAATTCGGAAAGTACATATAAATTATGATATGTATAATTTATGATTCATAGAACGTTAATTCATGATTCAAGTATACTAGAGTACACCATTTTACAAGAACAATGGTTTGATTAAAAACTAATCAAGAGTATATATCTTTCATATACATGTTAAGAATACTAATTTAGGAGTATACAATCGATTATTATTTCAGAATGATTGGGTTTTCACTTATATTATACACGTAACGTCTATATGCTTTTTTACGAGTCATTTGATTCAGGTTGTTTAATTCATTTAAACAACATAGTTAAATTCCTGACATTATAACCAGAATCTCCAGTCGGGGATCGAAACAAGTGTGTATAGATCTATATTGGGATTGACAACCCCGCACTTAGACTGCTAGCTACTGTCAGGCATACACGCCTACGAGTGACAGTTGTTATCAACAGTTTTAACGCCTTCAAAGAGTTGTTTCAGGCCATCTAGTCTCAGTATGGTTATAATAACTTATTAAAAAGATATTAACAATACGTTAGTGTATAATTAACTAAACATAAGTACATTTTCAAAGTACTAGTTTACAAGATACAATTTACAGTATTACATTACAGTTTACAATAACAGCTGGTGGAACCAGGCACACTTACAGCTACAGGTTTTACAAAAGGAATACAAATACAAAACATTGGTTTACAAACAGAACGGTTTTATGAGATCAAAACTACTTTTCATATACATCAAAAAATATAGGATTTTCTGAAAACAGTTTACATATTAAAGAAACAGAAAGCATACTTTCAAACATAAATACTTATGCACTCACTCAACTTTATGTTGATACTCTCTTTTCAAATTACTTGTATTCTCAGGGAATCAGTAGACAGGTAC